TTAGCTTCAATGCACCTTCATATCTTAGTCTACACAAAATTTCACAAACATATTTCATCTGTCTTCTCTTGATGTCATTGCCATAACAATGATTTTAAGGACTATTTCAGATCTGTAGTTACTTTAATATAGTCTCTAATTTATTTCTCTCTTGCCCACATATGCCACTATTAAACATCACTGAGAAGAGCAACTTTTATGGAATTACTATTAAAATTATGTCAAATTAAATTGATTTCAACCGATCATGTTTAAAATTAGCATAATCCCTTTATTGCTGTATCTGAATTATCCAAAGCCAGTTAAAATAATTGGCTGTCACAGATATTTATTTGGAGATGCTAGAATATCATCCCCAGCAGTAGCATAGCAGGTTTGTATTTCCCCAAGAAAGGGACACACTCTTACAGTACCCACCTACCTCAGCTATAATTGCAATAAGGGCAAATACTTTTTCTGAGTTCAAAGTAATGGAATAACCACGATTAAAATGCAGACTTCAATTGCTTTTAAATCTGCATATTTATTTGAAGACATGTCTGTTCAAATAGTTTCAAAACTACAAAAAATATGGACAGAGAAAATCTGTTCCTGGAGAAATTGACAAGAAGGGACATGGTTTTGTATACAAATAATTGCACTCGATCTGAAAAGCAAACAAAGTATTCCTCAAGAGTTGGCAAGTTTGCATCTGTAAGAAAATTCATAAGCAGTACAAAATGTGGGTCACTACACTGAATGCTTCAGAGCACAAGAAGTGCCCATTTTCAGCTTAGCCCTCAATTTGGATTCAGTGTGAAATAAGAATCTCTTACAGACCTGTCTCAATATTGCTAAATCCAGTTCTGTCTCAATACTGTTAATGATGACAGGACTTTTGTTCTAAGTGGTGTCAGCTGCTGACAGTTTTTTAAACATGTCACACCATTCCTGTCTACATGAAAAGACAAGGAACATCAGGTTCTGCCTTATCTTTTTGTGACTCGCTGCCAAAGACAAAGGGCCTTGTAATAGCCAGCAAAAGCCAGAAGCCTCCTGACAGAGGACCAGCAGCCTAAGAATCTTCTTTCCAAGGAAAAACCACTGTGGCAAGACAGAGCTGCCATAAGGCTGCAACAGTACTGCAATGAATTAAGCTTGCTGTCATTCAGTAAACTTTATAGCAGAGTTCATCACAGCCCATCTCAGAGCAGCAGACCCTCCTCAGGGGAGTGCAGCACTGCCAGTGCCAAAGAACAGAATATACCCACCACGGATAAGACCATTGGAGAGCTTTGTGGGAAAAAGAAATATTTTGCCAAACTGTATTCAACAGAACTTGTTAGAAAAATGTGCAGTTCAAGAGAAGGGGGGGAAAGTAATCAGAATTTTACAGTTAATCTACTTATTGTATTAGTAGAAACAACATCCATGCAAAGAACCTCAGGGTCACATAATCCAAACCCTCCAATAATATTCATGCCTTACATTCAAGACCATGCTGGAAAACAAATCCAAAGGGTAGGATAATAACAATTGTGTCCTTAAGGCTGACTTCTCTGCAGCTGATGGACGTTCTCATTTCAGTCTAATCACAGGACCATCTGTGTTGTCCTTGGTGCCATGGTGCAGGTGGGTGCCATTAAGCACAAAAAAAGCCAGATCATATAAGTTAACTACCACATTTTTAAGTTTTGTTTATTGTAAGAGGTTCCCATTAACTACTAGACATATCTTTCAGCCAACTGTTAGAGGAAAGCAGTCTGTTGTAAAACTTAAACCACTATTTATGTTATAAGGTGCCATGTGACACTATGCCTAATGTTTGTACTTGTCAACAGTTTCTATCTTCAAATAGATTTTTGGCTAGCAGACTTCAGTTTATTTGTTTTCTACCTTAAAAATGCAGTACATTCACAGTTCTTTCTGCTTTCACATCAGGAGCCATGGAAACCCCATTGAATTTCTTGGCATTTTTTTTTTTTTAATTTCCATTAGCCCACATTATGGACCTAACCAAGTAAAGTAAATATGAAATACAGATTTTCAAGTCTTTTATTTTCCTCCATCTATGCTGTACTGATTTTGGAAGCAGAAGCGTGTAAAACATACTTATTACAACCATTCTGTTTACTTATTCTAAGTATAAATAATTCAAAATAACACATAATGTTACTGTCTTCAATTCCTGTGCATCTCTTCATTTTTCTTTTCTTCTCACCTGTGGTACTAAGACTTTAGCAGCAGCTTGCTCCCTTTCACGTTTTGATTAAGATGGATGCTATTTAGTGCTTAATTTCTTTAAAAACAGAAACACAAATAGAATCTTGGTCCCTGCTGTATAATTCCTATCAAGCAAGTGCAAGTGCGTGCTTTAAAAACTCAGGAAAATGTATTTCAGCTTTAGTCATTGAACCTGGCCCCACCCTATTCCTCTGTGCTTCCCTAACTTGATTTACAGAAAAAAAAAAAAAAAAAAAAATTGCCTTTACCATGACATGGTGATCAGATTTCGAGTAAGTACTTGACCCAAAANACACAAACAAAGTAATTGAAATCTAATTCAGTTTTCTGTTGATTTCAGAATGAGGCCCTATCAGTCAAGTCCACAGAGATGGTGCATTCATCAGTCATTAACTACGGACTGTTCTTTCCTCTTTATCAGTTTATATACTCATCTACAAACACCTGTCAAGCTGAATTACAAAATAATTTTCACTATATGTTAAGCTTCTCTTTTTCATTCCTCATGGCATATCACCCAAGACTACTATTGTGGTTTTAAAAACTATGAGGATTGTTTATTATCAACTTACATGACCACATGTTTTCCAAAGGAAGGAAAAGTGTTACTTGAATATACAAGAGACCATTGAGGAATTCATTATAATGTATTATAATGCAAAAAAAACAAACAAGAAAAATATACTCTTTTGTAATTACAAAATATAGTAATTTATTGTGTACTGCACAGCCTATATCTCTTCAGGATAGAAATAAAACTACTCTGGCAGATGCTCTTAATATCACAGTTAGAAATAGAGCAAAAATACTAAAATAATTTAATAGTAAAAATATCCATCTCACAGAAGATCTCCAGCTTCCACATCTCAAAATAGGGCTATTAATAGGCTTTTGCAGCAGCTCTACAACATATTTCAGAGAGTTAAACATATTTCTTAGGAAAACTCAAACTCTACGAATTTCTAACAGTATGTAGCAAATACAGCTTAAACATCTTGAATTAGGTTTAACATTTTAAATTTTATCAATGGCCCTTTATTTTCCTGGTTGGAAACACAGTATTACTGCTACCACTATTGTACACATGAATATGCAGTGACTGTTCTAGATGGGCACTGACTAGCAAACTTAGTTGTTGGTTTGAGGTTTTTTAAAATCACTTCAGAGCTAATGTCCAACTGACTTTTCAGTAAGAATTAAACTTCCAAATGCCAACCTCACTCCTGAAAAGTAAATCCAGATACTAAAATTTTACTTAGAATTGTCAACATGAGGCACTTAACCTGAAGGCAGCTGAGGTTCTCTTCTCAATTCTCAAACTGCAGAAAACACATCTTCTTCCCAATTTATAATCTCAAAATCTACAGCAAGCCTGCCATATACAAACACTGGGATTATAGGATTATTCACACCTACCCATCACCTTTCCCCAGCAGAACTACAGGTGTCCTGTAGTTGTAAAATAAGCATGTATTCTATTTGCCATCTGTTGGAGGTTGGGCAGTTTTCTTATCTCTTCCAAGAACAATGTCTCCCTCCTGGGAGATATCTTCTGTTAATGGACCATTGAATGTCTCACTGCATGACTGATAAAGTTACATCATCCCATGGTGAGATGCTCCACCCAGAGTGGGGAGCCAAGCACCCCTACCTGCATAAAATCAGCACTTTTTGGGACACCAGGGCAGCCCTTTGCTAGATTCCCAGAGGAGCAGCTTCTTCTCTGCTGGACCCCCAGAGGAAGACCAGGCCCATCTACCCCATCACCAGACCTTCAGAGAAAACTCCACCCTTCTACAGATCACCACCTCAGCAGCATTTCATCTGTCACTCCAGGAGGAGCAGCCACCATTTAACTGGACTACTACCAACACCCTGACTCCTCAGGGTATCAGGTTTCTGACTCCATCACTAGTTTTGTTTGTACCAATTAATTTTTTTTTATTTATTAGTTTTATTTAGTTTCTCTCCTAGTAAACAACTGTTATTCCCATTCCCATATCTTTGCCTGAGAGCCTTTTAATTTTGAAATTGTGGTAATTCAGAGGGAGGGGGTTTACCTTTTCCATTTCACAGGAGGCTCTTGCCTTCCTTCACAGACTCCTGTCTTTTCAAACCAAGACAACAGGGCAGTTATTCAGTGAGGGAACCTTTTATTGGCAGCACAATCTCCTCCAGTTTTAAACAGCTGAGGACTGAAGCCTGAGGCACTGCTCTAATCACATTGACAAGGTGTGAGGACTGGGGCAGGAGCAAAACTACCTGAGCTGGTAACTCTCTCCACCACAGCAGTTTCCAATAGAAGCAAATTTCTGCAGTGAGT